AGACAGGATACTAGGCTAGATGGACCATTGGTCTGACCCAGTATGACCATTCTTATGTTCTGGTTCACACTTCAGTCAACCACCACTCAAGGCCTCCCTAGAACAAAGAACTCCCAGTTCACACTTTTCAAACAAACAAACACGCAGTCAAGCAGTCTCTGCAACTAGCACCAGTCAAACACTAGTCAAACTGATGATCATAGCAGAGATACTCAGATATCCACCCCATCGACTCAAAACACAGCCCCCCAATGCAGCACCTACCTCAAGAGCACTCACTATAGCTCTTCTCGGATAGCTTCAAGGCAAACTCCCTCTCTTTGCTTACCCTTTGTTCATTCCTCTTTCTTGAGTGATAACTGCTAATTTAGACTGCATCATTTTGTATGTAGAGTTGGGATTATGTTTTCCATTGTGCATTACTTTGCATTTATCAACGTTGAATTTCATCTGTCATTCTGTTGCCCAGTTACCCAGTTTTGTGAGATCCCTTAGTAACTCCTTGTAATCTGCTTTGTATCTAACTATCTTGAGTAATTTAGTAACATTTGCGAATTTTGCTATCTCACACTTCGCTGCCTTTTCCAGATAATTTATGAATATGTTGAACACCACAGATTCCAGTACAGATCCTTGGGGGACCCCGCTATTTACCTCTCTCCATTTTGAAAATGACCCTTCATTCCTACTCTGTTTCCTGTCTTTTAACCAGTCATTGATCCATGAGAGAACCTTCCCTCTTATCCCATGACTGTCTACTTTGCTTAACAGCCTTTGATGATATTATCAAAGTCTTTCTGAAAGTCCATGTACACTATATCCACTGGACCACCCTTGTCCACATGATTGTTGGCCCCCTCAAAGAATTCTAATAGATTGGTGAGACATTATTTCCCTTTGCAAATGGCTTATTGACTCTTCCCAAACATATCGTGTTCATCTATATGTCTGATAATTCTGTTCTTTTAGTATAGTTTCATCCAGTGTTTCTGGTCCTGAAGTTAGGCTGACTGACCTGTAATTGCTAGGATTGCCTCTGGAGCTTTTAAAAAAAAATTGGCATTACATTAGCTACATTAGTGATAGGTTATATACCAGTTAGTTGTTCTGCAATTTCATTTTTGAGTTCCTTCAGAACTCTTGGATGAATACTGTGACGGGATCCCCGGTGCACAGCCTGGGACCATGGGACCGTTGTGCCCCCTTAACTCTCCAACCTGGACTGTCTCTCAATGCTTTGCTAGTGACAAGCAGCAAGCTGTTATCGCTCAGCACAACTGCATGTGGAGTCCCACAACGAGTGCTTCCAGAGCCTCTCATGAATCACGCAGAGAAAGGCACCAGCCAAATCCCCCCGGCTCCCAGTCTTGTACCTCAGGAATATACCGTCTTGCACTGCTCTAGATGAGCTGTGCAAATTTATTAATTGGTTCAGCACTTCATCAATGGAAAGTGCATTCTCTAAGCAGATTTACCACACACTTTGGGCAAACTCACTGGTAAAGATAAACAGTTAAACAAGTTTATTGATTACAAAAGATAGATTTTAAGTGATTATAAGTGATAGGCAAAAAGTCAGAGATAGTTACCAAAATAAAATAAAATGTAAGCACACAGTCTAAACTCTCAACCCTATTAGACTGGGTAACATTTAGATTAAGAATTTTTTCTCTTCCCACTGGATATTGCAGTCCTTAATATATAGGTTTGTTCCTTAAACCTGGGTATTTTTTTGGTCCTTCTAGTGGGTTTTTTTTAATTTGGGGTATACATTTATTGTGAACCTCTGTTACAGTGTTTTTAAATAGTCCCCTTGCAGTTTGCAGCTATTTGACCTTTCAGCTGTTCCTTTTAATTTCCGTTTAACTACCTTCTTCATTTTGTTTAGTTCTCCTTTTTAAAGTTAAATGCTTTTGAAGTTTGGTTTCTTTGGAATTTCCCCCCCTTCAATTATGTTAAATTTAATTACATTATGGTCGCTATTCCTAAGCGGTTCAGCTGTATTCACCTCTTGGACTAGATCCTGTTCTTCACTTAGGACTAAATCAAGAATTGCCTCTTCCTTTGTGGGTTCCAGGACAAGATGCTCCAAGAAGCAGTCATTTATGGTGTCTAGAAATTTTATCTCTACATCCTGAGGTGACATTACCCAGTCAATTTGACGACAGTTGAAATTCCCTTTTATTATTGCATTTTCTGTTAATCTTTCTAATCTCCCTGAGCATTTCACAGTCACTGTCGCCATCTTGGCCATGTGGTTGGTAGTATGTTCCTACTGCTGTTCTCTTATTGTTCAAGCATAGAATTTCTATCCATAGAGATTCTGTGGTACAGTTTGATTTCATTTAAGTTTTTTATTGTATTTGACTCTATGCTTTCTTTCACATACACCAGCATGACCTACTCTGTCATTCCTGTATGTTTTGAACCTTGGTATTACTGTATCCCATTGATTATCCTCATTTCACTAAGTTCCTGTGATGCCTATTACATCATTATCCTCATTTACTACTACGCACTCCATCTTAGCATTTGTATATAAGCACGTGTACATTTTATCAATCTTCAGTTGCTTACTTTCAAGTGTTATATTTAAATGGGATTCTCATGTTTAATTTCTTTCATCACTGTCTACTATTTGTACTTTACCAACTTCTTTCCTTTATATAGAGTTCCTCTTTAATAAATTTATCCATAAGGGAAGTCTCTATCCGTACCATATGCTCCTCTGTGCCGGTTGGCTTTGCCCCAGCCCTTAGTTTAAAAAATCCTCTATAATTTAACATTTAACCTTTTAAATTTTACATGCCAGCAGTCTGGTTCCATTTTGGTTTAGGTGGAGCCCATCCTTCCTGCATAGGCTCCTCCTTTCCCAAAAGGTTCCCAGTTTCTAATAAACCTAAAACCCTCCTCCCTACACAATTGTCTCATACACACATTGAGACCTTGGAGTTCTGCCTGTCTTTCTGGCCCTATGCATGGAACTGTAAGCATTCACAGAATGTTACCAGGGAGGTCCTGGACTTTAATCTCTTACCTAGCAACCAAAATTTGACCTCCAGGACATCTTTTCTTCTTTTCCCTATATCACTGGTACCTGCATGTTACCACAACCACCAGATCCTCCGCAGCATTGCACAAAAATCTGTCTAGATGTCTCTTGAGATCTGCAACCTTCACACTCAACAGGCAATTTACCATGCGGTTCTCCCAGTTATCAAAATTCCGACTATTCGTATATCTAATATTCAAATCCCCCATTAGTATTACTTTGTTCTTCCTAACTGGAGTTCCTCTCCAGAAGGAATATCCTCAGTGTGAGAGGATACCATGACATCATCTGGAAAGAGGGTCCCAACGATGGGATTGTTTCCCTCCTCTCCAGCCTGATGTGTTCCTTCCCCAAGTCTTTCATCCTCCCTAACAGCACAGAGGCTGTCAGACTGGGGATGGGACCGCTTCATTGTGTCTCTGAAATTCTCCTCTGAGTACCTCTCTGTCTCCCTTAGCTATTCTAGTTCAGCTACTCTGGCCTCAAGATGCCGTACTATGTTTCTGGGGGACATGAGCAACTTGCACCACATGCACACCTACAGCTCCTGCATATGAGGCAGATAATCATATGTGCTACATGGAGTGCAATAAACTGGACAGCCCCCACTCTGCTGCTAGACTTTTGCCTGCAATATTTTTACTCTTGCAAGGGTTGTATTGTTTTTTTATTTTTGTTTGAAGGTGGGTGTAATTGGCCTAAGTTTGTTTGTTAGGTATGTTTGTTAGGTGTACTGGGGTTATTGTTGTTGTTTTTCACCTACAAGTTCATCCTTGCAATGAACAACACCTATCCTCTCTTAGCCTCTGTAGTTGCAGCTACCCTTTTTGGTGTTCTTAAATCACAGCAACATCATATTACAGCTTTTAACATAGTTTATATATATATATATCTGCGGCGTAATGAGAATATTTTGTCAACATTGTTTTGTGGTATGTAGTTGGACTAGTGGTTTCTTATTTTAAATGTTCATTTTTTCCTAAGTTCAGATAGAAAATATTTTTAGCTGTACTTCTTACCTTTGTAAGGAAACATTCTATTTAGAAACACTTGAATATTGTAGTAACTAGGTTACTGTTCCTTATTAGCCTTCCAGAGAATTTTTTAGGGGCAGTATCACGTTAAGAAGAATGCAGCATCCCCTAAGAAGGGGAGGCTGAATAGTAGCAGCCTCTAAGAAGACCCTTACTATGGGTTATTTGCCCCACACGGATTTGGAGGTCACTGGGGCCCCAAGGTTTCTTGCAGTTCTTTTGCTGCTGTATGTAGAGCAGGGGTGAGTCTCTGCTAGTGTCAGAAAGTTCACTGACCAAGTTTGGAGCGTATACTGCAATACTCTGGCTGTCCAAGGATGAGAAGTTACCTCTGGGGCCGATTTATTATCTACCCCCCTCCTCAGTTGCATCCTTTCCCTCGTTTTCCATATTCAGTAGTCAGTATCCCAACCACACAAATCAACTCATAGAGCTTGGAACTGCACATAAGGCTTTGCTGCCTGGCGTTACTGACACTTCCTGATGAATTATGGATTCTTCTTAAAGGACCATTCCTATTGGGAAATTCTGTGGAGAACTGCAGCCCCCCTGATGATCGTGAAAGTGTGGGGTACTCTTGGGACATATGTGTCCAAAGTTCTGGTTCAGAGTAGTGGGGATTGGAGACTGTCTCCCCTGCTCCTGGCCCCTTGGTGCTCTAGGCAGTAGTTGCTTCAATGAAGTGGATTATTGCCCTTACAATAGTTAATTATCTTTGTAATTGGATAGGGAAGAATTTTGAGAGAAGGTTATTTTTCAGTGCAGTTGGTCCTAAAAGAGCGAAGAGTGTTTTGTGAAGTCTGCGTTATTGTGAACATTAATAAGTGTCATGAAAAGCCTACTAAAAAGTTACTAATGAGTGGAGAATAGAAAAAAAAATTCTATTGGCAGGTGTCTTTGTGCTTTTTCAACAGAGCTAAACAGTAGTGATTTAAAAGACTGTATCAGTGATAATAGCCTCAGTAGCAATGCTAGTCTTCCCAGTGTACAGAGCTGTCGACGACTCCGAGAAAGAAGAGTTGCAAGCTGGGCCGTTTCATTTGAACGCCTTCTTCAGGATCCTGTTGGCATTAGATTTTTCTCTGTAAGTAGTGAGCGGCAAGAAGGGGGCTTCCAAAACATCTAATATCACTGCAAAGATTTTTTCCTGTGATTGTTTTCTGTTTTTCTTGGCACTATCCTTAGGTTTTAGAGTTAAGAGATCATAGCAACACAAAAGGATTGACACTTCAAGCGTATTTATTAGCAAAAACTAAACTGTCTTTTCAGCTGGACCAAGTTTAAAAAAAATCTGCAGGTTCCTACATACTGCAGTACAATGGATGTCCAGTACTCTTTAGCTGATGGCAATGAAAATTTTACTCTTATCCTTTGTGTCTGAATTTTTAGTAAGGCTTCCATATCTCCTATGTCAGTGGCATTCAACTGGATTTGCAACTGTAGGCAAGATAATATTTTTACAGTTGTAAAAAATAATTTTATAGACTATTCAGCTATTTGCATGATCTAAACTTTGTTTTATCCACATGGAAGTTTTTCAATTGATGTGCAAGTCTGTCTAGTTATACTGGACAAGTGCATTTCCCAAGTGTGAATTAAACCTCACAGCACCCTTGTGAGGGAATATGTAATGTTATCCCCTTTTTAAAAATAAGGAAATCGTGAGGCACTTATTTGACTTGGTCACAGTCACACAAAGTCTGATGCAGAACACAGATCTGAATCAAGAAAATGAGTTAATGTCAAAAACTATTTTCACAAGCAAACTAGATAGAAATTTAAGGAGGGGGTGTTAAATTCTGCAGAATAGTCCTTTCATCCAAAATAGTCCTTTCTGTTCTTTGGGCTTTTAATTATCCTAGCAACAACTAGGATCTCTGGAAAAGATTTGTGGAAATGATGAACATTTTTACCAGTTAATGGAAATTTCTTTAATACATTTTTGCAATGTTTGTATAAAATTATGAGTGATCTTCTCTAATTTGCTTAACCTAAATGAAGTAATTGTACTAGGAAAGTGTTTGCAAAATGACATCAGAAGATAGCCAGACAGAAAAAGCAGAATCTACAGGGTCTGTGTATAGCTACATCAGGAAATAAAGGAGAGATCTGAATCTATGTATGGACTTAATGATTAATTCTCATGAGTAATAGAGAAGTCATTGCAGAGATCTGCTGAGCCTTTAATGGCAAAATGTACACCTTCTGTCTCCCTAGCATCCCATTACAAAGTAATATGTCCTGTTCTTTTAAAATAAGAAAGTACAGTGTGCTAATCCTCCAGGGCCTAAGTTTGAAGAGCATAGTTTTGCACACACCTGACTTGCAGAGTCCTTGATGCATGCACACAAGCTGCAGTTCTTCTCCAAGGAGTGTCCTTGTGGGTGCTCCACTTCCTGTTGCGTCTTTGATTGGAGAATTTCAGCAGCAGTGTTCGTCTGGGTCGCACATGCGCTGTCCCTGTCTTGCGCTGTTGTCAGTGCCTATTTTGCGCCGCGACCTGATCTCCCTCAGTTCCTTCTCAACCGTCCTCGGCCTGAGATAGAGCTCCCAGCAGTATGATAGCTGATACCTTTATTTACTGTGTAGAATAGTTAGAGTAGTTTGTTTACTAGTTAGATTTACCTACCCTTTTTGTTCCTCCTCTATTTTTCTCAATTAAAAAAAAAAATTATTTCCTACCTTTACAGTAGTTTGGTTCACCGGGTTTCAAGTGCTTCCTTTCCTGCCAGGAAGTTATCACGGTATTGGATGGTCACTCTTAATGTGTCCGATGCTTAGGTTGACACATATCCCACAAAAGTGTTCTCACTGCAGCAACTTAAAGGCTTGCACCAGGAAGGACAGAAACCTGCATCTAAAACTTAGCCTTATGGAAAAGTCTCTGCGCCTGGCATCTCATTCTGGCCAGCAGATACCCTCCTAAAAAGTAACAAGGAAAAGAACAGCATCTTCTCCCTCAAAAGAGCCACCAAAAAAGAAGTGGTCTCCGGCTTATTCGATATCCTTGGTACTGACCACACTGCGGCTGAGTATGTATGAGGCACCAGGATTCTCCAGCACTGCCCACACCGTACCATCTGCCAAAACCAAGTGGGCAGTCTCTGAGTCAAGAGGCAAACAAAAGCCCATCTCCTCTGTTGTGGTACCGGTGGAACGGCTGAAAGACGCGGACCGAGACTCTCCTTGTGGTGTATGGTGCTACCACCTGACAACACAGAGCACCTAGGCATTGGCACTGACATCCACAGCTGCAATGACACCATCGGCATCGACCACTTTGGCGCCGAAACCATTAGCATTACACCATTTCCTGCAACATAAGGACTTATTGGTATCATCGATACCTGAATACCCGCGCTTCAGCACTGACGTATTCCCTGGTGTACACGGTACCAGGCCAACCTGATTCACTGGTGGCCCTTCCATTTTTCAGTGAGGAAGAGGATTTTCATAGATTCATAGATTCTAGGACTGGAAGGGACCTCGAGAGGTCATCGAGTCCAGTCCCCTGCCCTCATGGCAGGACCAAATACCGTCTAGACCATCCCTGATAGACATTTATCTAACCTACTCTTAAATATCTCCAGAGATGGAGATTCCACAACCTCCCTACACAGTTTATTCCAGTGTTTAACCACCCTGGCAGTTAGGAACTTTTTCCTAATGTCCAACCTAAACCTCCCTTGCTGCAGTTTAAGCCCATTGCTTCTTGTTCTATCCTTAGAGGCTAAGGTGAACAAGTTTTCTCCCTCCTCCTTATGACATCCTTTTTGATACCTGAAAACTGCTATCATGTCCCCTCTCAGTCTTCTCTTTTCCAAACTAAACAAACCCAATTCTTTCAGCCTTCCTTCATAGGTCATGTTCTCAAGACCTTTAATCAGTCTTGTTGCTCTTCTCTGGACCTTCTCCAATTTCTCCACATCTTTCTTGAAATGCGGTGCCCAGAACTGGACACAGTACTCCAGTTGAGGCCTAATCAGCGCATAATAGAGCGGAAGAATGACTTCTCATGTCTTGCTCACAACACACCTGTTAATGTATCCCAGAATCATGTTTGCTTTTTTTTTTTGCAACAGCATCACACTGTTGACTCATATTTAGCTTGTGGTCCACTATAACCCCTAGATCCCTTTCTGCCGTACTCCTTCCTAGACAGTCTCTTCCCATTCTGTATGTGTGAAACTGATTGTTCCTTCCTAAGTGGAGCACTTTGCATTTGTCTTTGTTCATCCTATTTACCTCAGACCATTTCTCCAATTTGTCCAGATCATTTTGAATTATGACCCTGTCCTCCAAAGCAGTTGCAATCCCTCCCAGTTTGGTATCATCCGCAAACTTAATAAGTGTACTTTCTATGCCAATATCTAAGTCGTTAATGAAGATATTGAACAGAGCCGGTCCCAAAACAGACCCCTGCAGAACCCCACTTGTTATGCCTTTCCAGCAGGATTGGGAACCATTAATAACAACTCTCTGAGTACGGTTATCCAGCCAGTTATGCACCCACTTTATAGTAGCCCCATCTAAATTGTATTTGCTTAGTTTATCGATAAGAATATCATGCGAGACCGTGTCAAATGCCTTACTAAAATACACAAATACCACAGCCACAGCATCTCCCTTATCGACAAGACTTGTTATCCTATCAAAGAAAGCTATCAGATTGGTTTGACACGATTTGTTCTTTACAAATCCATGCTGGCTATTCCCTATCACCTTACCACCTTCCAAGTGTTTGCAGATGATTTCCTTAATTTCTTGCTCCACTATCTTCCCTGGCACAGAAGTTAAACTAACTGGTCTGTAGTTTTCTGGGTTGTTTTTATTTCCCTTTTTATAGATGGGCACTATATTTGCCCTTTTCCAGTCTTCTGGAATCTCTCCCGTCTCCCATGATTTTCCAAAGATAATAGCTAGAGGCTCAGATACCTCCTCTATTAGCTCCTTGAGTATTCTAGGATGCATTTCATCTGGCCCTGGTGACTTGCAGGCATCTAACTTTTCTAAGTGATTTTTAACTTGTTATTTTTTTATGTTATCTGCTAAACCTACCCCCTTCCCATTAGCATTCACTA